ATTTTTTTTTTTTTTTTTTTTTTTTTTTTTTTACACAAAGATGACACAGCAGCACCTTTTTGGATTCTCAAGTACAATTTCTCCATTAAATAATCACTTCATTACATGGTTCTCACTGTGTCTAGGAATAAAGTGTTGGACCTCTGGCTAGCTATAACTGGATTCCAGTGTTCTGGCATTAACTCATTGATAGTCTTATGATGCAGAGAGCGGGAACCCCATGGCATGTTAAATACACTCTAATCAAGAATTAAAGATAACATCAATTTGGAACTGCACATATGCCACCTCCATGAGTCTGCAATATTTTTTTTACAGGCTAAATCATACCTAAATGAGTAACTAATAGATATATCCCATTCTTCCCTCCTACATTTGCCATCAAGCCCACTGTCGAATCTTTTAGAAAGCTCTGCTGCTATATAATCACTAATGATGCAACTGAAAAAAACAACAAGTGTGGAAACATGCCATGTGCTTAAAATAGATTCTTTATGGTGAAAGTTGGGAGATCTTGCCCCAGATAAAGTTTCCTTACTGACTTAAGTGAAATCTCTGCATGTATCATAACTGGATTTAGATCTCTCTGCTGTCAAATCAGATCTCATGCAGACATTTAATTCTTGATAAGCAGCTTTGATTCCAAGGAAGAATCACATTTTCTTGCTGGGCCAGATAAACACCAAAGGGCTAGGAGAACAGGGAAACACAAGATGGTTTTAAGTCAATGAGTACATTTTGAGAAGGGATGAATTCAATGGAAACTGAGGGCACTGGGCACCTATCAGGTTTGGGGCCTCTTTTTTATGATGGATTCTTCAAACAAAGTACTCATAAACTTATTAGCAAGAGAGAAGAAAGGAAGGAAAGGAACACCCATTCTTTAACAATGCCACAGGAGTTGAGGGAATCAGCATCTGCTGCTGAGAAAATCCCACAGACACACAAATATAACGTAGAATTCCCTTTTATCTTTACAGGGTCAAGGCAAGTGTTTCTGAGAAAGCAGAGCTGTTGTACTGCATGGATGAGTCTCAGACAAAAAGACAGAGGGCCTAGCATTCCATCTCACTTCCTTCTCTCTGAGCAATCACACCTTCCAAAAGCACCCACATACCACACATTTCACATCAGGGTGGCTCTTCCATATTGCTCATCACATGAGCCTAAGGTATGTAACATGGGCAAGAAGTGATCTGATCATGCACATAGATGTAATATGGTGGGTCTGAGATAGATTCAGCAGGGCTGTGGAAGCACAGAAGGGACTGGACTCAACTGTATTAATCTCATAAAAGCATGCCTTCCTGCCCTTTTTCTTCCCATCCTTTCCCCATGACGTTCTGTTGGCTAGAGGAATGCTGTGAAACGCACGGGTCAGAGACTGTCAGCATGTACCAGGCATGAGAAACAGTGTGTGCT